TACGGCCTCCACAAGTTGCCTTGCTTAGAAAGGGCCTCTGCATTGGCACTGTTTGCTCTGATGCCTCTGTTTGCTCGAGCATCGTCTCCTTTTGCTTGTTGTGAAAATGCCTCCCAGAAAAGCATTAGGCCTCACTCCACTACTGGCCAAATGTACAAAATGAGAATGAATCTCCTACTAGAATATGGAAAGCTACACGGGCATTTGTTTTGTCTTTTCTGCATGTCCCCCTGCTATTTTGATCAGGAGCTTACAACAGCGAGGCGGACATTTTTGCACAAGCCAATTGTTGTCAGAGGCTTCCAGACGCATTAGGGCAAAGTGGCCCTCTCTGTCCTGGATATAGATGCAATTATGCGTGTAGAAGAGATTTGAGCAAATGTCCATAAATAGATCCATAGGAGCAGCTATCTCTAAGTAAAGATAGTACATGGAAACCGCTACGCCTTCAACAGGCAAAAATTCCATGAAACTCAACATGAGCTAGCAGATTTCCTGGCATAGGGCCGCGCTCCACTACTTGCCAAACGAAAATGTCAAATTGCGACTACATCGTCTCTCATCAGCTAATAAATGGAAAGGTACACTCACCATACATATTTTTTCTTGTCTTTTTCACATTTGGGGGGTGGTGGAGCAATGTCCATAAGGCTCCGGCGGGATAAGCTTTCGCACCTGAGCAACATGATCCTCAGCCGTCCAGACGATCCATCTCCATGGCCGGCATTCAATTGGCTCAAATCTGCTGAACATTGCCTCCTGCGAGTTGGGGGATAAGCTTTCACACTTGAGCAGCAAGATTCTCAGCCGTCCAGACGATCCATCTCCATGGCCGGCAATCAATTGCCTCAAGTACGGTGAACATACCCTCCTGCCAGTGGGGGGCCCACACCCCATAACTTGCAGTACACGTACCTTTCCCTTCTTTGTATTTTCTTCCCCCTTTTTCTGAGGGCTGGCCTAGACTAGCATCACTGTACCGGACAGATCTGAACCGACCCTCGCAGTTGCAGCATCTCTGTCCTACTTGTGAGTCGTACGTTCACACATGCCAGACTATAGCAATGATGTCTGGACCTATAAGAAACAGAATAGTCAGTTGGAGATCCTGCAACCTAGCTATACCTTACAGTTGGCAGAAACCTGAAAAGAACAAGTACCGCCTTTTGTTGTTGTTGTTTTTTGCAAAAAGGCCAGACGGAGTCTACTAGGAGAGGGGGTAAGAGCCTCCTCCCCAAGTAAATCCATGGTCAGCCGCTCCATCTATTGGTGGGGAGCATCACTGCTGGGCAGTGGGCCCAGCGTCCCTCCAATACAGAATTGATAAATAAATTGTACATCAACATGAATGAATCATGAACTGGGCTAATAGATCTAAGCAACCATTGGATTCAGCTGCAGCTCCACTTTCTAAATATTGCTTCACCCACAACAACACACAAATTTAATATATAACTCCAAGATTTCAGATCACACACACACACACACACACACACACACAAAAAAAAAAAAAAAAAAAAAAAAAAAAAAAAAAAAAAAAATCCTTTTTTGCAGGATCTCTCAAAAGGAGATACAGACCTTTCTTTGGAAGTTTGTTCACTTACCGAGATAGGAGGCCAGCTGGACTCGACTCAATGCCGGCGCCGCCGCCGACTCAGCTTGGCAATGGAAGCAAACTGCAACACCAAAACAGTAACCCACACATCCAGATGCCGACCTCGCCCAGCCAACACGCACCAAGAGAGAAGAAATGGACAAAAATGGGCGGAACAAAAAGAGGGAAAACAAAAGAGACTCGTACCATCCCCCTCTAGCAGACCGGGGCTGGGTTTTCCAAAAGAAGAAGAAGAAGAAGGAAAACAAAAGAGAATGCATTACAGCCACACATTGAACCAAGAGAAGAAATTGCAGACAAAGGGGCAAAACAAAGAAAAGAGGAAAAACCAAAAAGAATGCATCACAGCAACACATTGAAGTAGTGGATTACAGGAAACCTAACACAATGCACACTTCCCAAAACTATTGCAAACGCATCTGACAACATTCACGGCCACATTCATTCATACGGCCCTGCCCTAACAGTGAAAGCACCCTCCAAGCTGTTCCCACTGGCAAACAGTGAAAAAAGGAAGGACCCTCCAACGGCCTTTCGAAAGAGACCTGGGTAGGCAGATACTATATACACTCTTACGTCGACATTGGCTTCAGCACCTTCCCCAGCTGCAGTAAAGCACCCCACAATGGAACGGAGTGCCTATTTGCGACTAAAAAAAAAAATAGTAAAAGATGCATTGCTTTAGGCAAAAGCAAAAAGGATAGAATCCCACATTCCTTTTCGTTTTCTTCCCGGCGGCACAGGGCGCAGAGGTGGGAGAGGGTACGGACAGGGGGAGAGGGAACCAAGGGAGGAAGCCCCTAAGTTAAACATTATTGTATTCATCCGATCTGATTTCGTCAGGATCCAAATGCATCATATACTATTTGTTTTAGTCACAAATAGGCACTACATTCCATTGTGGGGTGCTTTACTGCAGTTGGGAAAGCTGCTGAAGCCAACGTCGAGGTAAGAGTGTACACTAGTACCTGCCTACCCAGGTCTCTTTCCAAAGGCGGATGGAGGGTCCTTCCTTTTTCATTGTTTGCCAGTGGGAACAGCTTGCACAGGGCGTAATCGCGCTCAAGTGATTTCGGGTGGAGGGACGTGTTCCTCCGCGATTAGTAACGCCAGCAGCAAATGCCCCTAACTCACAGTTCGTACTGTAATAATTAAAAAAAAAAAAAAAAAAAAAAAAAAAAAAAAAAAAAACACAACTCATCATCTGTTCATAGCATTCAGCCACATGGGCTCAATAGAACGTCCAGGTTCCTCCTCTTCTCCCAAAGGAGTCTTTTTTCGTTTTTTTTCCCAGTTTCCTTTTCCTGTTTTTTTTTGGAAGGATTCTTTTTGGCAAAGGGGCATCCCAATAAGAGCATACTCACACTACGCATAGGACTTTTTGGGACCAAGCTCTGCACGTAATTGCGTTCAGATACATCCAGGCTACAGTACAATTCCAGTCAGATGCAACCAGGAAAGTCCTTTTTTTTTTTCCTTTTTTTGTTAGTGTGACTATCCGCTGAATCTTCCAAAGACTCGATAGCAGCCAGTACGTTCAACAAGCTGTAAGGCACGCAGCATCTAGGCATGCAATCAGCAGGGCAACACTGCAAATCTCGACGAGGAAGCGATAAGAAGCGATTAGCATATCACAGGACGGAAGCGGCGAAAGGATAGCCGGGCCAAAGACCAAGCATATGACAAAGGCAAACATGGACGGCAAGAAGGAGAGCAAGAAAAGATGGGGAGCAGAAGAGGAGCAGGAGAAAAGACTATGATAATCACAACCAAGAGGCAGAAGAAGAACTCCGGATACCGGCTGCAGTGTGTCACGGCCGGTTTTCTCTTTTTTAATTGGACCATTTCTCAAGTTATGTGTGTCATCCTTACACAGGAGCCATGGTAAAATCTTCTCTGTATCGCTCCAATTTTCACGAATATCCCGAAAGGACTGTGTCACAGCCGTTTGACATTACTTGCCTCATAGAATACAGCTTTCGTGCCCAAGCAAAAGGAACATCCACAGACACCTCACAGCTACTCCCTGACATCTTTCCATCACCCCCCTTGCATAAGCTCATCTGGAGACACCTCATAAATCCCAAAACATTAACCGCGGGAGGCGGAGAAGAAGACGGCAAAGAAGCAGGAGGAGGCGGAGGAGAAGGAGGAAGACGAGGAGGAGGAGAAGAAGAAGAAGAAGAAGAAGAAGAAGAAGAAGAAGAAGAAGAAGAAACAGCATGAGTAGCAGCAGCAGTAGAAGGAAGGGGAAGAGGAGGGGCAGAAAGGTTCTCAAGTCACCAGATTTCCAGGGATCCTACGGGCATGACGTGACCTCTCTCGGCTACCTTGCAAGATAATCATCATAGGAAAAAGGTAAACTTGCTAGGAAATGGGTAATTTGCCCCCCCTCTGCCTTGCAAGATCATCATCCAAGGAAAAAGGGAAATTGGCCAGATGATCACACACCAACTATGAAAAACGGAAATTTGCTCACAACTGTGTGGGGGGGGGATGGGGTGGGGTGGGGTGGGATGGCGTGGGGGGGGGGGGGGGGGAAGGGGCCATATATGTGCTATGCAAGGTACGTGTATCAACATGCCCTTAATTTCTCTATTTAGGGTTCAGGTGGATCTGAGCTGAGCTCCAGACACGCTCAGCTAATAGACTTCGGGCACTATTCACCGAAAGTCAAGACCCTGATTCTTTCCTGAATGTTCGCATGTGAATGTCGCCTCCTCTTTCCCTTCGCTAACATGGGTAGTGCTGAGGAATATTTTCATTCGGATATCAAGGACTAGGGGAACTTGGCCCAGTTTCCAAGAAAGAAAATGTAAGGCAGATCTGCCTCAGGGAACACACCCACTTCTTCATAATCTTCTTCAACTCGCAGAGCTCGAAGTCACAACAGGCAAAAGCTCACTGAACAGTTCAACTTCACCACCCTCTCTCTCTCTCTCTCTCTCTCTCTCTCTCTCTCTCTCTCTCTCTCTCTCTCTGGCGCGCGAGCGCACACACACACACACACAGAAAAATGTTTTCTTTTTCCTTTTGTTCTTCTGTTATTTTCCAAACAGGTGAGTTTTTTTTTAAGCCAGCATCCAGACTTGGAGCTACAAAGACCAGACTTGAACTTTAAACACAAGGAAGGAAGTGCCTGCCCCATTCTGCTTCACACAATAAAGGCGGACTCTTCAAAGAGAGGAAGGTTGAGTGGAGGGGATAAAAGAGGGAATGGGAAGAGTACTCGAGGCAAAACAGAAAGAATACGAGAGCAGACATTAAAAGATTCACAATGGATAGGGAAGGGAAAAGAAGGAAATGGATAGGAAAAAGGAAAGGTAGAGAGAAAGCAATTAACGTGAGAGAATCAAGTGCAGAATTAAGGGGGACTAAGAAAAGCCGTGACAATAGGACTTCATTATTCGGCATCCAGCTTTTCCAAGTACAGTTTCAGTTTGAGCAGTCTTCCACTGTGCCTCTGTGATTCACACCCTTGAATTCACTTTAAACTTTAAAGACCTTAAAATCAGACCTGCCGACGTCATAATAAACCTCACCTCCAACATCCCGGTCATCGCAGAAAACTATCTTTTTCTTTTCCCTTGCTAAAGATGGTGTCGGGATGGTACGTGACCAGGAAGGCAACGGGGTTTCGGTAATAGGCAGGGAACACTTGAAAGTAAATTACACAAAATAAACAGAAGCACAGCATTGGCCTTGCCATACTGTCCTTAGGGCGTACTCACACTAGCTGTATCTCAGATGTATCTGACCGCAGGCATTTATGCGCCGGACGTGGAGGCATCTGACATCAATTGCGTCCATAAATAAGTAGGAAAAAAGTCACAGTGTGAATATGCCCTTAGTCTGCAGCTGTTCAGTTGAATTTTTCATTTAAAAGAAAAAAAAGAAAAGAACAAAAAGAAAGCAACCGTCGCAGTAACAGAAATGGACAACAGATCCCACGCGCTCGAGAATGACAGCAGACAGAGCAGAATGGAACAGAGATGAGGTCTGCCTAAGGATCCCCAAGGTCAGGTGCACCCCCAAAATAGAAACGTGCCATCTGGCTTCAAGTGCCAAAGGAAAGGAGGAAGAAAGGCTGTTGTCTTAGTGAAAAGCAATTGCCAGAAATTGCCAGAGGGAGAAGACAAGTGACATTGAAAACTATTGAAGCTGGGGTTGGAAATGGGAAAGGGGCGGAAGTGATTGATCCCTTTCAGACGGACGATAAAGGCACACAGAAGGGCTTCATCTTATCATCTTAGCTTATAACAGAATAAGTCCTGAGTTTCAAGAACAAACGATACCAGCAGCAGCACAATCGGAAATTCCACCTCGAAAGGAAAAGAGAATATAACCCAGAGTTATCCCACTTAAACTCTGGTCACCCCCTGAAAACCAGAAATTATCCCAAGGTTCGACATTCGCAGGAGGCCACCGAACTGTCCAGCAACAACATGTCTGTACACTACTCCTGCATGTCTGATCTTCCATGCTGGATGTTATTACTTGGCATGCTGGCAACCGTTCTCTCTCTCTCTCTCTCTCTCTCTCTCTCTCTCTCTCTCTCTCTCTCTCTCTCTCTCTCTCTCTCNCTCTCTCTCTCTCTCTCTCTCTCTCTCTCTCTCTCTCTCTCTCTCTCTCTCTCTCTCTCTCTCTCTCTCTCTCTCTCTCTCTCTCTCTCTCTTCCATGTCGGATGTTATTATTAGGCATGCTGGCAACCGTGTTCTCTCTCTCTCTCTGTCAAGGATCGCGGAGAACGATCCTTCTCCTCAGTCCACGTACAGAACGGGGTTAATTTCCAATTTTAACCCTGAGCTTTTCTCAAACAACAGACTTCAGCTTCTCTTGCAATTGCAGACTATCTTCATGATGGCTCAGGAACAAAGTTCCAAGCTTCACAGGGCTCTCTCGTCCATCAGTGGCCTCCCTTCTGTCGCAGTTATACCCACAGCCATCCCCACAGTCTTGTCTGTTTTATTGAGATTTTCACACCGTCTTAGATGCACTTGCTGCCATTAATTCTCTCACATTACCGTCTCTCCTCATTTTGCATCAGTGCCCTCGCTGGGACCCTTGACCCCTTCGCACACCAGAGATCGCAACCTGGAGTATTTGATAGTCCTCCTCTCTCTCTCTCTCCGGACGCACTTATTCTCTTCTTTCCTGATGTGAACAACTCCTCCTTGAGGCGTCTTCAGCATTGAACAAAACAAATCCCTCAGGGGTCTTCAGCATGATTGAACAAGAAACGTGAGGTTCTGCGAATTCCCTCCACGCTCGGATCAAAACCTCCCCAAGGCTGACGTCAACAAGACAACTGAGGGAAGAATACCAAAAACGACACACCTAAAAGAGAACCGATCTGCGTGGAGATAAATATCCATCATGGCTGACGTCAAGAAGACAACTGATGGCGCAGACAAAATTGATCGCATACTTCATGGAACAGGCAAAAGAGGGATGCCACCACGAGAAAAGAGACCCGCAACAACACCACGTGGATTTCCCTCATCTCTTATCCTTGATTTGTTAAAACTCGTCCATACCTTAATTCCGTCGAGAGGGAAAGTAACCTAGCACGTAAGCGCCATCACGGTCAAAAACGGCCACACGGGATCACAGAGGAAGAGGTGTGTACACCACCTTTGTCCGACTACAAGCGAAAGGAAGGACAAGGTTTGAAGAGGAGGGTCGTCCTCTGTAGAACCCCTGGGGCGCGGCCTCCCGATGCAAAATGTCGGCCAAGGACGCCCCGCTACCGGCAGTCTAAAAATAGAATTGTCAGAGTCCAGAGCCGTTCGTCTACCGTCAAGCTAAAAATAACCTTCCCGGAGTCCTCAGCCATTAGGGCAGCGCGACGAGCGATCTGTCACTCTCAAACTGGATCGAGATAATCCAACTGGCTTCGGACTCGCTTAGCTGCGGTGGGCGATTTTGCGCTCGCCTTATACACCACAGCAGTAGAAAATCACCAATCGAGAGAAAGAGATAGAGAGGCAAGCGAGGCATAATCAGAAGTAGACAACGCCCGCCTTCCATCCGGAATAATAGCGACAGCTTCTCTCTCTCTCTCTCTCTCTCTCTCTCTCTCTCTCTCTCTCTCTCTCTCTCTCTCTC